CCTAGTGCAAGAAAACCCGGAATGTAGCCACATACATTGGAGTCAATCCCGTCGCCATTGGTGCTAATGGCTTGTTGGCTTGGCGCAGCACCTTGGAGTGTCAGGGGAAGCACTGGAAGCAAGGCCATCGGTTGGAATGTCCCAGAAAGGTTGTGGTCAGCAGAGACAAGAGAGAGCATGCCTTGTGTGCTCTTGACGGAACCCTTGCCAAGCCAAAGAAGGTGGGCTTTCCTCCTTCCCAGTTTCCCCCCTATCTTGGTCTCGCTAATAGAGAGCTGCCACAGATTTTATTCCCGTACAGGGACTTCCTCAAGTTTTTTAGCTGCAACATTTCCAAGGTGCCTTGCGGATTGATCAACTGCGGCAACAGGTATGTGTCTGTGTGTGTGTGTGTCTGTGGAACGGATCTAATCTTGCGATCCTCTCCCCGTCAATGCCTGCAGTTGCTACGCGAATGTGGTGCTGCAGTGCCTAGCCTCCACCAGGCCGCTAGCTGCTTATCTTCTGCATGGGATGCACCAGGAAGCTTGTGAGGTGTGCAACTTTACCGACGAGTTTCTGACTGTGCGTTCCCAGGTCAGCGGGAGGGCTGGTGTTTTATGTGCGAGCTGGAGGACCACGTCCAAAAGGCATTCAATAACCAGATGCCCTTCTCCCCTATCAAGATCTTGTCCAGGCTGAGGAGCATAGGGAACAGCCTCGGTTACGGCAGGCAAGAGGATGCTCATGAGTTTATGCGGTGAGCTTGCTCGTTGGTGTCGTTGGTGTGTTTTTAACTCCCGAGGCACACAGGTTGGCCGTGGATTGCATGCAGAAGATTTGTCTCGACGAGGCTGGGGGAGAGACCACTCTGGATGCCCGCACTCAAGAGACAACGCTTATTCAGCACATATTTGGTGGATACCTCCAGTCCCAGGTGCGCCTCGCTCGCCTCAGCCTCGTGGCGCAGATTTGCTGATGCGCTTGGTTGCTCTTGTCCTGCCTAGGTGGTGTGTTGCCAGTGCCAGCAGCGGTCGAATCTGTACGAGAACATGTTGGACCTGAGCGTGGGTATTCAGGGGAATGTGGAGTCGTTAGAGGACGCGCTCAAGCAGTTCACGTCCCCCGAGTGGCTGGATGGCGACAACAAGTACAGGTGCGACCGGTAAGTTTCTCGATAAGCTCTCTCTTTGCAAAGCTTACCCGCCACATTCCACCACCCCAACCAGCTGCAACGCTTATGTTCGGGCAAAGAAACGCCTGTCAGTTCACGAAGCACCCAACATACTGACCATCGCCTTGAAGCGTTTCCAGGTACCTCTCTCTCTCTCTCTCTGCTCGTCCGCCTCGCGATATCACTCTGCTGTGTGCAGGGCGGAAAGTTCGGTAAGATCAACAAGAAGGTCACCTTTCCTGAAGAGCTGGACATGGTCCCTTACATGTCCGGCACGGTGGATACTCCCCCAGCATACGAGCTCTATGCGGTGGTTGTGCACGTGGACATGCTCAACGCGTCCTACTTTGGGCACTATGTGTGCTACGTGCGAGCTGGCAACGGGGCGTGGTTTAAAGTCGATGACAGCAAAGTGAGTCGGCGTTGGAAGTTTTGAGTGTGCATTTCTGCTGTTATAACACAAAAACTGCCACATAGGTGAAGGAGGTAGACCAAATCAGGGTCATGTCCCAGAAAGCCTACATGCTACTCTACCGCCGGTAAGCCCCTGCGCGCTGATATGCATTCAAGCTCAGCAAGCTCAAGCTTTCAGGTCATCACCACGGCCACGGCCCGTCGTGGATGGCGCCGCAACGCCGTCGACGTCCGATTCAAGGGGGAGCTGCCGCGAGGAGGTGACAACAGCTCACAACCAGCCGGGCAGCCCAGTCAAGAGCAGGGAAAAGGTGATAGCCTCCCGCACGGGGACGAAGCAGGTATTGTTAGAGTCGTCAGACAGCTCCCTTGAATCTGGGTTTGCGAATCATATGATGAATGGGACGGCGCAGAGGGCTGGCAAGAGGAGGTGGCAGCAGGCGCACGCGAGTCGACAAGGCGGTCATAGGTCGCCATGCTCGTGCACTGATGACGCCTGCTGCTCTTCCGCCGTCCCCAAGCCAGATGAGGAGCAAGAGCAAGCTGCTGCGTATGAGTCGCCGGACAGGGAAGGAGTGGGGGATGCCATGGAATGTAGCCTCTTTCAGAGCAGCATTACGTCAGAAGACGTGCAAGTACATAACACGGACAACTTAACGCTAGTAAGCGACGGCGGTGGTGGTGGCCATGGGAATGGGGGGGTTGACGGGCAAAGAAGCCAGGATAAGCGGCCACGGACCGGCACTGCTAGTGATGATTGGTCGCCTCGGCGCCCGTTTGTGGGCGGCCTAGATTATTTGACAAGGCCTGACGACGAGGAGCTCCTCGTAGCTCCTGATAGTCTTCCTGCAACAGCTTTAGCAGGTTTGAGCGAGAATTCCAGGTCCATGTTGAGACGAGGCTTTTTGAACAGACCATAGCCATGGTCTCTTGTTTTGCCCCCTTTTTTTCTTTCGTCGCTAGTTCCTTGGAATATTGAAACCGAGTTGAGGAGTTAAGTCGCCTGAGATGAGCAGAAGGTGGTGGACAGGAGCACATAGCCCGTTGCCCCCGCGGCAAAGGCACCACCTCGGTGTGCAGCTCGAGCCGCAATCTCCGGCTCACCATGCAACTTGCACGCAGCCAGCAGTGCTGTCCACGCGATCCCCATGTCATCGTCATCGCCAGCGGCACAACCACGGACCAGATCCTCAACCAGCTCCTCCGCTTGCCGCAGCTGCCTGCTCCGCCCCAGCGCATCCACCATGCAGCAGTAGTGCTGGATGCTTGCTTGAATGCAATAGTTTGAAACCATGCTCCGGAAGCACTGGCGCGCTGCTTCCACCATCCCTCGCTGGCTCAACCCAGCCAGGACACAGCTGAAGGTGGCACCATCGGGCTCCGCGTCACCTTCCAGGCTCATGCTTCTCAGCACTGCGTCAGCAGAGGCACAGAGCCCCGCATCGGTATACGCTGCAATCATCCCTGTCCATGTCGCCGCATCCCTACGCTGCATGGCGTCAAATATCCTCCTCGCACTTGCTGCATGGCCGTTGAGCGCGTACGCCTGGATCATGGCATTGCACGACACAAGGTCCCGCTGTGGCATCCCGTTAAACACAGCCTCCGCTTCCTCCAGATGACCCCTGGCGTGAGCCAGAGCCGCGAGGAACGAGCTTTGTGACGCTACGCAGTGGCAAGGCATCCGACAAAAGGTGTGCCTGGCTGCGCCGACATGCCCGTTGTGGCTGTATCCACCCAAGAGCGTGTTCCATGACATGCAGTCCCGTGTCGCCGCACCGTCAAAGGTAAGCTTGGCTTGTGCCACCCTGCCCTCACGGGCATATGCTGCCGCCATGGCGTTGCAAGCCACCACATCCCGGTGCGGCATACTGTCGAACACCTGTTTTGCAGAGTCGACACGCCCACACTTGGACAGGCCCGTCATCAGTATCGTGCACGAGCTCGCATCCCACCGTGGCATCCGGTTGAAGCAGCTCGCGGCTGCGTTGACGCCGTTGGGCGCAGACGCCGTGGTAAACACCACAAGGATGGCGTTCCAAGAAGCCATGTCCTTGTGGGGCATCCCGTCAAACAACCGAGCCGCATGGCTGGTGCTCACGGGCGTGTTGCCTTTGGCATGGCTCCTCAGCAGCGCGTTCCACGCCGTGGTGTCGTGGCTGGCCATCTTCGCAAATGTGGCCTCTGCGTCGCCCGTGGCACCAGCATGGGCGAAAGCCAGCAGCATGGACGTCCAGGATATCACGTCCCTCTCAGCCATGGTGTCAAAGACGCGCTTGGCATCGTCGGGCCGCTCGCGCCGGCCGTAGACTCCAACCATGGCATTCCACGAGGCCAGGTCGTGCTGGGGCATCACCCGGGAAAACACGTCCAGCGCCTCATCCCCGCGGTCCTGCTGCTGGTCGGCCCCAATCGCGCGGAGCAGCGAGTTGCAGGCGACGATGGTCCTCGCCGGCATTGCCCGCAGCGTGCGTGCAGCGCTAGCCACATCCCCGCTGCGGGAGAGGGCACTTACCCGCGCACTCCAGGCCACGACTCCCCAGCTGGGCATCCTGGAAAAGATCCACTCCGCCACCTCCATGCAGGCGGCCTTGTGGTAGCCGGTCATGAGGCATGTCCATGACACCGCGTTCCTCAACTCCATCCTGTCGAAGACGGCCCTGGCGTGCACATGATGCCCGTTGTGGGCATACGCTGCCATGAGGGCATTCCAAGACACGACGTTGGGCTGCTCCATTTGTGCAAACACCGCCTCCGCAGCGCTGCAGCTTCCGCATTTGCCATACATGGCCACCACAAGGTTGCAGACGTACGTGCTGCTGCCGCCCGCGCAGCTCTTGTGGAGGCTTTCCAGCTCCAATGGCGTGCTGCACCGCTTGATGAGCTCCCCAACCGCGTGCTCCCGACAATAGGTGAGGCGGCGTCGCCAGGCCATGACCGAAACGAGACATTGGGGCGAGGTTTTTGTTTAGGGCTTGTGGGTGGGTGAGGACGATGTCGGGCATGGGCGATGGCTACGTCGGGACGGCGCAGGACGCCGCTCGCATCCGGCGCCTGGAGAAGCAGCGCGAAGTGGAACGGAAGCGCATCCAAGACCTCAAGAAGAAGTCGGCTGAAGGGCAGGGTGGGCTTCTGCAGTTCGGCTCCGGGACATCAGAGGTGACTTCTGTTTGCTCTCTTTTCCCCTCATTACCGGAGCTCGCCGCCACAGATTCTGGAGAGCGCCTTCAAGAAAGAGACTGTTGGGCTTGTCACCAGGGAGCAGTTCGTGGAAAAGGTAGCTGGCCTGTTTCATCACTTTGTTTCATTTGCGTGCCACTGCAGAGGGTCAACTTGCGCACCAAGATAGAGGAGGAGGAGAAAGAGAAGCTGCAGAAGCTTGCTCAAGAGTAAGCCCACATCCCGTCTTTGTGGCCGTGTGTCCGAGTCCAACTGTGTTGCAGGGAAGAGGAACGTCAGCTCCAGAAGAGGAAAAAGAGACGAGCGAAAGGCCCTTCCCGCCTGTCGTTTGCGGACGAAGTCGATGGTGACACCGATGAAGACGAAAACGGCAGCGCTGGTATGGCTTTGGCAACTTCGGTCAAGTCCCCTAATGCATGAGCCGTGGCAGATGAACGGAAAAAGAAGAAGCTGGGCAAGTTCGGCAAGAATCCGTCCGTGGAGACAAGTTTCTTACCTGACAGGTATTGCTTTCACTTCGTACTCTAGGGCCGTCTTTGTTTTGTTGGGTGGATCGACTGCTAACGCGTTCTCAAGGGGGCGGAGGATGATTATTCAGGGAGCGTGAGGCGGATGAGCAAGCAGAACGCGAACGCCTTCGCAAGCAGTGGATCCAAGAGCAGACACGCATCAAAAGTAAGCGATGTGGAACTTTGCATATGGTAACACCCGCCCCTGTGTAGATGAGCCGCTAGAAATAACATACAGCTACTGGGACGGAGCGGGGCACAGGCGAGTCATTCAAGTGCGCACCTCGTCTCGATATTACCCTTGCTGACTGCAGTTTCTCCTTGGCCAGGTGCGAAAGGGCGATACAATTGCTGAATTCCTACGGGCTGTCCAGCAGCAATTGGCGTCTGAGTTCCGTGAGATCCGAACTGCATCTGTTGAGAACCTGCTCTACGTGAAAGAAGATCTGATCATACCTCATGTACGTTTCCTTCCAGTTGTTGCCACTTGTTCAAGTTTTTCCCCACCTTGTTTGACAGCAACACAGCTTCTATGAGCTCATCACCAACAAGGCCAGAGGAAAGAGCGGCCCGGTAAGCCCATGGGTGTCTTTGTCATGACTTGACGCCCATTTGTCTGTGGATGATAGCTCTTTCATTTTGATGTTCACGAGGACATACGCACAATCGCTGACGCCACAATTGAGAAGGACGAGGTACCTTGTGTATATCGGTTTTGTATGCCGGTTGGTGACGCTTGTGCTTTGTGCAGTCCCACGCTGGTAAGGTTGTGGAGCGGCATTGGTATGAGAAGAACAAGCACATATTTCCTGCCTCGAGGTGGGAGATCTATGATCCCACAAAGAAGTGGGAGCGCTACACCATTCACGGAGACTAGGATTGGTTTTGTTTGAGACTTTGAAAAAACAATTTATAGTTGTTGCCCTAGCATCGGATAGAGAACTAGAATGGGCGACGAGTACCAAGTGGTGGTGGTCGCGGGAGGCAGCTCAAAGGATCTCTTCCCTCTTGTGTCCAAGGTAGTCCATTTTACCTGCCGCGGTGACTCTCTGCTTACATTTCCCCGTCTTGGAAGGATGTCCCTAAAGCCTTGCTGCCCATCGGCAACAGGCCCCTACTCTCCTATGTCTTGGACCTTTTGGAGGATAGCAATCTCAACAACGTGAGCGTGGTGAGTTAGCCTCTGCACTTTGTTGCGCGCCCTTATGTGTGTGTCTCTGCCCAAGGTGGTCGCGGGCCATGAGTCCGGTGTTAGAGTCGGCAGCTGGATAGCGGAGGCTTATCACGATCGCCTGCAAGTGGAGGTGAGCTGTGTAATTGGCAGCTTCATTGTCATTCACTGGGCGGGCAGGTTTCCACGGTCTCGGAAGAAAGTGGGACAGCGGATGCCCTTCGCAGCGTGGCTCATCGGCTCAGTAGCGAGAATGTCATGGTAAATGTTGCCAGAGGTGGCCAGTGGTTTGCTCACTATAAGCGTGTAGGTTGTTAGCGGCGACATGGTATGCGATGTACCACTGGGAGCCATTGCATCATCTCACAAGAGGCAACGAGCAGGGCTGACTGCTCTTTTGTGTCCGCGCACTCCAGGCGAGGGATGTGAGGCCAGTGCTGGCGGTGTAGGCACCAAAGAAAAGGCCAAACAACTGGCTGCTGCCGATGTCATTGGCCTCGACTCTGCCCGCCACCGTTTGCTCTACGTGGCTTCCGGCTCACAGCTAGGAAAGGAAGTTAAAGTTCCGCTGTGCTTGATGAGAGAAGCTGGCCAGGTTAGTATGTTATAGTATATTAACGCACGGGAGCTAACTTTGTCACTGTTGCCCAAGGTCGAACTTCATACTGACCTTTTGGACGCGCACCTTTACGCCTTCAACAGGTTTGGTTCAGCGCAGCTAGATTCTTTCTTCTTATCCCATACAGAGAGCTTATGCTCGAGGCACTGGAGAGAAACGAAAAATTCAAAAGCATAAAAAGGGACCTGGTTCCTCACATTGTGCGGTCTCAGCTGGTTCGTATTTACATAGATGCTCGATAATCTTCACTTACGCTTTCTCTTCAAGAAACATGGAAGGGTGGAGGGCACATTATCATGCTCTGCTTATGTAGCTGGAAAGGCTAGATATTGCGCGCGGGTAAACACTATAGAAGCGTATGGCGACATAAACAGAGACGTGAGTCAAATGCACCCGGAATTGATTTGTGCACTGACCGCTCTCTAGGTTGCAGGAGACGCGATATACCTCACCGGATACACGGTATCTGGCATGAACAACGTAATTCACCCGAGTGCTCAAACGGGTGCCAAGACGGCTGTAAGATGCCTTCAAATTGTTACTCCTTATATGCTGATTTCAATTTTACAGATTGGACCGCAATGTATAATTGGCGAAGGTTCGGAGCTTGGGGAGAAATGCAGCGTCAAGAGATCTGTTGTTGGACGCCACTGTAGAATTGGATCCAATGTCAAGGTTGTTTTTTTCTTTTTCTTTTTTTTCTTTTTTTTTTGTTTTGAGCCCGGTTTGTGTCCAGGTCATTAACTCGGTTGTGATGAATCATGTAACCCTGGAAGACGGATGCTTGGTACAAAATTCAGTGATTTGCAGTAATGTTCATCTCCAAGAGCGTGTCACCCTCAAAGATTGCCAGGTGAGGGACCACAATGCAACGCTTATGGATCACAGCTTATAAGTCTGTTGTGTAGGTGGGCTGTGGCTACGTCATTGGTGTGGGTGCCGAGCATAGAAGCGAGGCATTAGCAAAGAAGGAAAAGGTATGACTGGTACTAGTATTTCTTAGGCTAAAACTCTTCAAAATGTTGGCACCAAATTCAATAGCAAAAAGAGGATGTTTGTATACTGCTTATTCAAAAATTATACTTGTTCGTGCAACAGAGCTGGGGTCTAAATGCTAATGAGTAACTGTATTATTATTATCTTGCTTGGTGGTGTGATGTGATAGAAATATACATTCCAGATGCCCATCAACTATCAGTTCCTTCAATAGTTATTGAAATGAGGTCTTATAGGATTGCTTTATGTAACAAAGAAATTACATTTTTCTGGGAAAATAATTCATAACATCCTATGGTCCAAAAGGGAGTCATGCAGCTTTACCATCAGTCTATATGTTAAGTTGGGCTGTGTGAGTCAGAATAGGAACCATAATGACAATGTTTATGGTGCCCAACATTTGTTTATGCAACTGAGCATATTCAGCTTTCTGTCTACTGTTCTCATCTGGGGAATGTGTTTACTGCTGGGTAAGCTGTAACTTCTTTAATACCTTTTCTCCTTATCTGTGTTTTAGAGATGATTGATGCATTTGTCTATTCGAGCTAGGAACAACAATGATGCACTTGACTGATTCCCATGAAGTACTGCACCTTCTGATTCTATATAGGTTTTACCTAGCATTAGTTGATTTCTGTAACTGGCATCTTGCGTATAGGGAGCAATAATTGCAGTTCTTTAGCATTATATACTCAAAACAAATTTAGGAATGTATTTGTGAATCAAAATAACTAGCAGATCTTGTCATGTTTGCTGTGCTGCATATAAATACTTTAAACATCGCAGCATGTTGAAAAGCACAACTTACTTTCTCTACCTATAACTATAAGCACTTGATTTCAGATCAACCCTGAAAGTGTAGCGCATGTGATTATGGGATAAGATTTGGATATACTGTCACCGTGGATCCTTGGAACCTTGGGGGATAAATGGGGATAAAATAGCCACTAAGGCCTCTTTTATCAAGCAATTGCCCCTTTTTTAGTTGGCTTAAAGGGAGAGAGATAAGGTGTGCTACAGTTAGTATCAGAGAAAATGACACGGGTTCGATTCCCATTGATTAGTGCCTCCCTTGAGCAAGGTATATTCCTACCCCTAAATTTGAAATCGTACGTATTAGGCATCCATGTGTACGTCCTTCCTCTTGTGTGGAGTATCCACGGACGAAGGTATCCACTGTGGGACTACGGTACGGGTGGATGACTAGTTGCCTCACATGGAATAGCTGATCTACACAATGGAAGGATTGGTAAATGGAGGTGTTAGTTCCCTTTGGCTCAGTAGGGGTTGCTAGTCAATAGTCAATGAAGACATTGACATCTCTGATACCAAATGTAGCGCACGTGGTTTTGACCTTTTATCCTATGGTGATTTACCATAAGATAACACCACGAAGCGGAACTTAAACCCTCTTTATGCCACATGATAGATGCCATGTGTCACATACCGGGCCGTTAGGCCACGGTGTTTCACCCCGGCATCCCGAAGCAAGTGTTGCACCCAAGACTTGGGATTTAGAGGGTCCCATGATCAAGTCTTGTGGTACCAAGGGATGTTAGGAACCTGGAAGCTTGGTGTGCTTGGCTGCTTGTGCTTGTGGGGAGTGTAGCCGAACCTTAAGTCTAGTCTAACCCGGGGAGGGGGATTGGGAGAGATTTGGGAATCCGTGGATGGATGGCTAACACTCCATTGCTCGTGCAGTGAGTAGCTGAAACCAGGTAGGACTAAGTAGGAGTTGGTACCATAGGCAGGAACCTTGGCGAGGGAACATAGCAAAAGCCAAGGCAATGTTGGACGGATAGACGAGGTAAGTTGGCAAATTAGAAAGGAAAAATTTGTGGCTTACAATTCTTTATGCCACATGATAGATGCCATGTGTCACATGCCACGTATCCAAAGGAACATGGTGTGGAACTCGAGGTTCAGGGCCTTGGGCCACTGAACAAAGGAACGGTGCCAAACTCCCAAGTATGGAGCCAAGGAGTGATGGAATCGATCCATGGAGCAACTCCCGAGCATAAAGCCCAAGGAGCGAAGGGACAAGAGCCCGGAGCGACTTGGAACAGTCTTGGAGAACCTAGCATCCCAATGTCAGGACCAGTACTCAAAACGGAGCCAAACGAAGTTTGGCGCTATTTCGGCATACCGGTGGCCTAACATGAGGACATGGGTACTCCATCAGCTAGCATGGTGTGGAACTTGGGCTTAGACCCAAGCCGGACACAGAACAAGGACAAGCACGCAAGCAGGAGCTAGACTATGCCTCGGGTTGGTCAGCCATGCCAGACCTACCTACTACCCTACTATACATTTGGAACCCCCCACAGCCCCCCCCCCCCCCCCCCTGAGGAACACATGCTTTGGGCTTTTACCCCAAGCCATCCTTAGTATCAGGAGTTCTGGGACAAACTCGAAACTTACTAAATATGGAATATCCTTAGATTGTGAATTTGGACATGGGACAAACACCATTGTGTTCAGAACAATCTCTACATTCTGTATATGTGCCAAATGAGCAAATCTGGACACTTTCCATAAATAGCATTTGGGACCGAAATGAAACTAACACAAAGGGCATGATAGCGAGGGTGTTTGGCAGACACGGTAAGCTAGCATCTAGCAATATTGAGGGACCAAGCTCAATATCATGGGGGTTTCTAACACTAGCAAGTGCAAGTCAACGAATGAGTTTCTCTAACCAAGTCAAGTATGCTTGACAAATAATATGTAGGAATTCCGTCCTTATGCTCATCTAGTCAAATGCACATGCGATGACTAGTTTCTCAACTAGCTTGAGTGGAGACCATAAAAGGGACTAGCAGTACCGACCTCCTGCCATCGTGGTAGTAAGGAAAGAGTCCCCATAAGGACTGGTCGACAAGTATCTTTCGATACCCGAAGTCACATTCGCGACACTATCTTTCGATACCCAAAGTCATATTTGCGACACTCTCCCCCCCTAGGGAAGATCGACGTCCTCGTCAATGCATACTCTAGTCTAGAATACCGCCAAGGAAACAACTCCAGAAAAAGTTCATAGTACTCACACTATATGAGAAATGCACCAACTTAAATGAGTTAGGGGTAACCTCTTTGTCTAACGCGGATGCGCTATCAGCTCAGACACCTTCTGGCCATCGC